ACCAAACTTGGCACAGATAATCAATATGCCCAAATGTGAACACTGGTGGAGTTTGGGGAAAATAGACCTTGACATTTGGGAGTTGTAGTTGATGGGATTTATAGTTCACCTACAATCAAAAAGCATTCTGAACTTCACCAACAATGGAATTGAACCAATCTTGGCACACAGAACTCCCATGACTAAGAGAAAATACTGGAAGGGTTGGGTGAGCATTGACCTTGAGTTTGGGAGTTGTAGTTCACCTGCATCCAGGGAGCACTGTGGACCCAAACAATGATGGATCTGGACCAAACTTGGCATGGATCCTCAATATGCCCAAATGTGAACACTGGTGGAGTTTGGGGAAAATAGACCTTGACATTTGGGAGTTGTAGTTGATGGGATTTATAGCTCACCTACAATCAAATAACATTCTGAACCCCACTAACGATAGGATTGGGCTAAACTTCCCACACAGAACCCCCATGCCTTTGAAGAAGGGACTAGCTGGCATGAGCCTCCCTCCAGCCTCACATGATCTCCCTTTCCCCATACATGTACACCACACTGCTATGCGCTGAGCACGCCTGCTCTCCCCTCTTCCCTTGGAGTCTCAGAAACACCCTCCCTTTGGTTGAGATGCTGGCTAATTATAGTGGAGGAGGGCTTTTGGTCGGAGGATTCGGGGTCTGTTTCCAAAAAGGAAGAGAAGGACAGGCGGAGATCTTCTGCCTTCTCTGCCAAAGGGGTCCCTAAGACCCCTCTGAAACTTCCTCATGACCCACCCATGGGTCCCGACCCCCAGGTTGAGGAACACTGCCTTCAATCAAGATCTACAGAGACACTTGGTGTGACACCTCAGCAAGGAAGAGTCCAAAAGCGGCAGGCAAAAACCCAAGTTTTCAATCCATGGCTGATACTAAATGAGAGATTCCCTCCTGGGCACACAGAAGACTGGGTGACTTCGAAGACTGTGCTTTGAGACCACGAGATGCAAGAAATGGGGCCAAGAAGTGGAGTCCACGGCATGAGAGTGTGGAGAAGAGCAAACCACAGACCACCTACTACAATGCCGTCTGAGCCCATGCGCAATGGAGGACCTTCCTATAGCAACACCAGAGGCATTCCAAGTTTTCCTCCCCAACCTTCTGCTTTTGCAAGACAATTGGGAACCAGGAAGAGATGCAAATGTCTTGCAGATCACATCTACCTGCAAATCCTTCCAATCCCTTTGCAATTCAATACATGCTTTGGGGTGCCCACCCAATCCCCTTTGTGTTATGCACTGTCAACATTATCTGCCGGAGGAATAAATAAGAAACAACTTAAGTTACGAAAGAATGGCTCATTGTGTAATGGCGCAGTTCAAGGGCCGGAAAATAATTGCCAAGCCTGGCATGCTGGAGATGTGCCCTTGTTAGGGATTAGCCTTTTGTGTCTCGGCTGTTTGATTCCTTGCCCGGCTCCGGCAAATCTGCTCAGCGGGGAGCTTTGGGAAGAAAGGACCCATCTCCTGCCCGACCCCCAGCCGGAAAAAAGGGATGGGATCTTGGGGACTCATTGCAAAGGAATGCCACGGCCTTTTGCACCGCTTGGCAGGCTGGCTTGGTTGGAAGGGCTGCCAAACGGTCTTGTCTTCTCATAAAAGGCTAACAGGCCTCCGCTGGGATTTCCCTCAAAAGGAGAGGCTGTTCCTCTTGCCTCTCCATAAAACTCAGGTGCACTCAAGAGGCATGTTGTGAACCTCATCGGACTGGCACTAGGTGGAGTGACCCTCTGTGATGCCACCGGGTTAGCGGTCGCTAGGTGAAGTGGCCCTCAGTTATGACACTGGGTTGGCTTTCGCAATGAGGAGTGGCCCTCAGTTACGACACTGGGTTGGCTGTCGTTGGGTGAAGTGGCCCTCAGTTATGACACTGGGTTGGCTTTCGCAATGAGGAGTGGCCCTCAGTTACGACACTGGGTTGGCTGTCGTTGGGTGAAGTGGCCCTCAGTTATGACACTGGGTTGGCTTTCGCAATGAGGAGTGGCCCTCAGTTACGACACTGGGTTGGCTGTCGCTGGGTGAAGTGGCCCTCAGTGATGACACTGGGTTGGCTTTCGTAAAGAGGAGTGGCCCTCAGTTACGACACTGGGTTGGCTGTCGTTGGGTGAAGTGGCCCTCAGTTATGACACTGGGTTGGCTGTCGTTAGGTGAAGTGGTGACACTAGGTTGGCTGTCACTGGGTAAAGTGGCCCTCTGGGTTGGCTGTCAATAGGTGGAGTGACCATCTGTGATGCCACTGGGTTAGCGGTCGCTAGGTGAAGTGGTCCTCAGTTATGACACTGGGTTGGCTGTCGTTGGGTGAAGTGGCCCTCAGTTATGACACTGGGTTGGCTTTCGCAATGAGGAGTGGCCCTCAGTTACGACACTGGGTTGGCTGTCGCTAGGTGAAGTGGCCCTCTGTGGTGACACTAGGTTGGCTGTCACTAGGTAAAGTGGTCCTCTGGGTTGGTTGTCGCTGGGTGAAGCAGCCCTCTGTGATGTTTCCAGACTGGCTGTCACTAGGTGGAGTGGCCCTCTGTGATAACACTGGGTTGGTTGTTGCTAGGTGGAGGGGCCCTCTGTCACTAGGTTGGCAGTTGCTGGGTGAAGTTGCCCTCTGTGAAGTCACTGGGTTGGGTGTCGCTAGGTGAAGTGGCCCTCTGCAATGTCACTGGGCTAACTGTTGCTAGGTGAAGTGGCCCTTTGTGGTGACACTAGGTTGGCTTTCACAAGGAGGAGTGCCCCTCAGCAATGACACTGGGTTGGCTATCGCTGGATGAAGTGGCCCTCTGTGATGACATGGAGTTGACTGTCGCTACGTGAAGTGTTGTTATTGGGTTGGCTGTTGCTGGGTGAAGTGGCCCTCTGGGTTGGCCACCGTGGGGAAAAGCCACCCTCTGTGCTATCACTGGGTTGGCTGTTGCCAGGTGAAGTCGCCCTCTGTGGTGACACTAGGTTGGTTTTCACAAGGAGGAGTGGCCCTCAGTTATGACACTGGGTTGACTGTCGCTGGGTGAAGTGGCCCTATGTGATGACACTGGGTTGGCTGTCACTAGGTAAAGTGGTCCTCTGGGTTGGTTGTCGCTGGGTGAAGCAGCCCTTTGTGATGTCACCAGACTGGCTGTCACTAAGTGGAGTGGCCCTCTGTGATAACACTGGGTTGGCTGTTGCTAGGTGAAGCTGCCCTTTGTGATGACATTGGGTTGGGCTGTTGTTAGGTGTAGTGGCACTCTGCGATGTCACTAGGTTGGCAGTTGCTAGGTGAAGTGGCCCTCTGTGGCGACAATGGGTTGGCTGTTGCTGGTTGACGCAACCCTGTGTGATATCACCGGGTTGGCTGTTGCTAAGTGGAGTGGCCTTCTGTGATGTCACTGAGTTGGCTGTCACTAGGTGAAGTGGCCCTCTGTGTTAACACTGAGTTGGGTGTCACTGGGTGAAGTAGCCCTCTGTGTTAACACTGGGTTGACTGTCACTAGGTGAAGTGGCCCTCTGTGTTAACACTGAGTTGGCTGTCACTGGGTGAAGTAGCCCTCTGTGTTAACACTGGGTTGGCTGTTGCTAAATGGAGTGGCCCTTTGTGATATCACCGGGTGAAGTGGCCCTCAGTTATGACACTAGGTTGGCTTTCGTTAGGTGAAGTGGCTCTCAGTTATGACACTAGGTTGGCTGTCACTGGGTGAAGTGGTCCTCCGTTATGACACTAGGTTGGCTTTCACAAGGAGGAGTGGCCCTCAGTTATGACACTGGTTTGGCTGTCGCTGGGTGAAGTGGCCCTATGTGATGACACTGGGTTGGCTGTCACTAGGTGAAGTGGCCCTCTGGGTTCGTTGTCGGTGGGTGAAGTGGCCCTATGTGACGACACTAGGTTGGCTGTCACTAGGTAAAGTGGTCCTCTGGGTTGGCTGTCGCTAGGTGAAGTGGCCCTCTGTGGTGACACTAGGTTGGCTGTCACTAGGTAAAGTGGTCCTCTGGGTTGGTTGTCGCTGGGTTAAGCAGCCCTTTGTGATGTCACCAGACTGGCTGTCACTAAGTGGAGTGGCCCTCTGTGATAACACTGGGTTGGCTGTCGCTAGGTGAAGTGGCCCTCTGTGGTGACACTAGTTTGGCTGTCACTAGGTAAAGTGGTCCTCTGGGTTCGTTGTTGCTGGGTGAAGCAGCCCTCTGTGATGTTTCCAGACTGGCTGTCACTAGGTGGAGCGGCCCTCTGTGATAAGACTGGGTTGGCTGTTACTAGGTGAAGTGGCCCTCTGTATTGTCACTGGGTTGGCAGTTGTTGGGTGAAGCTGCCCTTTGTGATGACATTGGGTTGGGCTGTTGTTAGGTGTAGTGGCCCTCTGCAATGTCACTAGGTTGGCAGTTGCTAGGTGAAGTGGCCCTCTGTGGCAACAATTGGTTGGCTGTTGCTGGTTGAAGCAACCCTCTGTGATGTCACCGGGTTGGCTGTCACTGGGTGGAGTGGCCTTCTGTGATGTCACTGAGTTGGCTGTCACTAGGTGAAGTGGCCCTCTGTGTTAACACTGGGTTGGCTGTTGCTAAGTGGAGTGGCCCTTTGTGATATCACCGGGTAAAGTGGCCCTCTGTGATGACACTGAGTTGGCTGTCACTAGGTGAAGTGGCCCTCTGTGTTAACACTGGGTTGGCTGTTGCTAAGTGGAGTGGCCCTTTGTGTTATCACCGGGTAAAGTGGCCCTCTGTGATGACACTGAGTTGGCTGTCACTAGGTGAAGTGGCCCTCTGTGATGACACTGAGTTGGCTGTCACTAGGTGAAGTGGCCCTCTGTGATGACACTGGGAAATATGACGTGTACGAGGAGAAGGGAGAGAAGGAGGAAAGAAAGAAAGAGCCACAAAGAGAGCTACCTTGCCATGGAGACATTGTGTAGTATACCTTTTCAGAGCTGGAGAAAGGAGGAAGGGGAGCGGAAGGAGAGAAAGAAAGAGAAAACGAGGGGAAAGAAAGGAAAAGGGGAGGGAGGGAGGGGGAAAGAAAGAAAAAGGAAGGAAGGATCCACAAAGAGAACCATCTTGCCATGGAGACATTGCGAAGCTGACCCTTTCAGAGCTGGGGAAAGGAGAAAGGGAAGAAAGGAAAGAAAGAAAGAGAAAAAGAAGGGAAAGGAGAAGGAAGGAAAGTGGGAAGAGAGAAGAAGGAAGGGTATAATGTCCCGTTCCCCTTCTGCCTTCCAGTCCAAATCAGCCTGCCTCCAGGGATGCGCATCACCAAGGGTCTTCCGGGGGTCTTCACAGCTATCCAGCTCCACCTTCACTGGGGTGGCAAGGATCTGGAGACCAGCGGCTCCGAACACACCATGGACGGGTTGCGTTACATTGCTGAGGTAAGACGTGGCGGGCAGGGAGGGCGCGGAAGCCTCTTGCTTCCCACTGGGGATGATGGGCCTTGGAACTGGCACGGCCTTTGGCCATTTAACCCTCCCTGTCTCCTTCCTGGCAGCTTCATATCGTCCATTACAACTCGGCAGCATACTCCAGTTTTCAAGAAGCGAAGGATAAACCCAACGGATTGGCTGTCCTCGCTTTTCTATTTGTGGTACGTTTTCTGCTCCGAACTGGATGCGATGGCCAACGTCAACATCTCATTTCTCATCACTATCATACCATGGCTTGGTGTGGCCTGTTGTGGTTGGTGCATGGCATTTTCATCCAGATCTATCTATCTATCATCTATCATCTCTATCTATCTATCTATCTATCTCCATCTCTATCTATCCCTATCTATCTATCTATCTATCTATCTATCTATCTATCTATCTGTTTCTTTATATATCTCTCTATTTATATATCTATCTCTATCTCTATTTATCTCTATCTACCTCTCTGTCTCTCTCTCTCTCTCTCTATCTATCTATCTATCTATCTCCACCTCTATCTATCCTTATCTATCTATCTATCTATCTATCTATCTATCTGTTTCTTTATATATATATCTATTATATATCTATCTATCTATCTATCTTCTATCTATCTATCTATCTATCTTCTATCTATCTATCTATCTATCTATCTATCTATCTATCTATCTATCCTATCTATCTATCTGTTTCTTTATATATATATCTATTATATATCTATCTCTATCTCTATTTATCTCTATCTACCTCTCTGTCTCTCTCTCTATCTATCTATCTATCTATCTCCACCTCTATCTATCCTTATCTATCTATCTATCTATCTATCTATCTATCTGTTTCTTTATATATATATCTATTATATATCTATCTCTATCTCTATTTATCTCTATCTACCTCTCTGTCTGTCTATCTATCTATCTATCTATCTATCTATCTACCTCTATCTATCTATCTATCTCCACCTCTATCTATCCCTATCTATCTATCTATCTATCTATCTATCTATCTATCTGTTTCTTTATATCTCTCTCTATTTATATATCTCTATCTCTATTTATCTCTATCTACCTCTCTGTCTCTTTGTCTATCTATCTATCTACCTCTCTGTCTCTTTGTCTATCTATCTATCTATCTATCTATCTATCTATCTATCTTTCTCTTTCTCTTTCTCTTTCTGTATCTATCTATATATCTATCACCCACTAGATGGCAGCAGTTAGATGATATATATCCTCTATCTATCTATCTATCTATCTATCTATCTATCTATCTATCTATCTGTCTGTGTATATATTATCTTTCTATCATTTATAATCTATCTACTGTCATTTGTCTGTTTACCTCTACTATCTACTATCTATCTATCTATCTATCTATCTATCTATCATCTAACTACTATCATTTATTTGACTATTATCTATCTGTCTATCTACTATCTATCATCTATCAATCATCTAACTACTATCTATCTATTATCTATTTGACTATTATCTATCTGTCTATCTACTATCTATCTTTCATCTATCAGTCATCTAACTACTATCTGTCTATTATCTATTTGACAAGTATCTATCTGTCCATCTACTATCTATCTATAATCTATCAATCATATCTATTATCTATTTGACTAGTATCTATCTGTCTATCTACTATCTATCTATCTTCTATCAGTCATCTAACTACTATCTATCTATTTTTTTTACTATTATCTATCTGATATCTATCATCTAACAGTCATCTAACTACTATCTGTCTATTATCTATTTGACTAGTATCTATCTGGCTATCTACTATCTATCTACCATCTATCTATCATCTAACTTCTATCAATCTATATTTGAAGCTCTGGTCTACTTCGCATTTCGCGGACTCGCTGTTTCGCGGGTTTTTGCCTCCCAGTTTATGAATGGTTGCCATTGCCCAGAGCGACCTTCCTCTGAGGCTGAGAGAGTGTGACGTGGCCAGCCTCACCCAGTGGAACCCTGGCTTCCAGTGCTCAAACCACTACGAAACAACCTCCTCCGAACCAATCCTGTCTGCGACAAGAACCAATGAAGCAGACGCTAGAGGGCAACCTATCCCTGTTGTTCTATGTATCCCTCTTTAAAATGGGATTTTCCAAGCCAAGGAAAAGATGAGAAATGATCAAAATCTAGACGGAATTGTATCTATATAGCTTTTCTTACTGTGACCAAACAGAAGAGTTGACAGGAGAGAACATTCCCACGTTTGTTTGGTCTCCGCTTTCTAATTCAACCTAATATTTCTTTTTCCCAATAGGAGAGCCATTTAGAGAATTCCTACTACAGCGATTTCCTTGCCCACTTGGAGAAAATCAGGTTTGCAGGTAGGTTGATGGGCAAAACCTATCTTTAATTAACACCCTTCATACATCCATTTGGATGTCCGGTGGTGCGATGGTTAAACCACAGAGCTGCTGAACTTGCTGACCGAAAGTTCAGCAGTTCAAATCCGGGGAGTAGGGTGAGCTCTTGCTGTTAGCCCCAGCTTCTGTCAACCTAACATGCAAATGTGAGGAGGTAACAGTGCTCCATGCAGTCATGCTGGCCACATGACCTTGGAGGTGTCTACGAACAACGCCGGCTCTTCGGCTTAGAAATGGAGATGAGCACCAACTCCCAGAGTTGGACACGACTGGACTTAATGTCAAGGGGAAACCTTTACCTTTTTTATTTACTATCATTTGGAAAATCAGTTTGGGGGTGTTAATTTGTCTCTGTATATATTTTCAGGGCAGGCAACTACTCTCAACACTCTGGATGTCATGTCCATGTTGCCAGAAAACCTTGGACATTTCTATAGGTACCAAGGATCCTTGACCACCCCTCCCTGCACAGAAAATGTCATTTGGACGCTGTTTGACACACATATCAAGCTGTCCAGTAGTCAGGTAAAAACTCTTGAAAAGGTTTTCACTTCCTATTATTATTATTATTATTATTATTATTATTATTATTATTA